GTTTAAATCATAAATATTCAAAGAGACTGTCCCCTACACCCGTCCATATTATTTATTGTATGGATTATATAAAGATTTGATCTAAGTATATGTTTGACATTTTGCGTGCATGAAAGATGGGATTAAGGGAGAAAGGAAATATTTTCCTAAAAGTTTCCAATAACTAATGGAGGAAATTGGAAATGGCTGAACCTGTAGAAAGCACCAAATCCGTGACAGATATCACAGGGTGACATTCCACAGGCCTATTACCTTGTGATTGTGAAGATCCTTGTTGCTATTCCGTGTCAATACAAGTATAAATGTTAATGGTGTACCAATGGACCCAATAAAGTCTATGGAGTATCAATATACAAGTATAAATGTTAATGGTGTACCAATGGACCTTATAAAGTCTATGGTGTACCAATATACAAGTATAAATGTTAATGGTGTACCAATGGACCTTATAAAGGCTATGGTGTACCAATATACAAGTATAAATGTTAATGGTGTTACAATGGACCCCATGAAGGCCTTGATGTACCAATATACAAGTATAAATGTTAATGATGTTACAATGGACCCCATGAAGACCTTGATGTACCAATATACAAGTATAAATGTTAATGGTGTTACAATGGACCCCATGAAGGCTATGGTGTACCAATATACAAGTATAAATGTTAATGGTGTTACAATGGACCCCATGAAGGCTATGGTGTACCAATATACAAGTATAAATGTTAATGGTGTTACAATGGACCCCATGAAGGCTATGATGTACCAATATACAAGTATAAATGTTAATGGTGTTACAATGGACCCCATGAAGGCCTTGATGTAACATTGAACACGTATAAATGTTAATGGTGTTACAATGGACCCCATGAAGGCTATGATGTACCAATATACAAGTATAAATGTTAATGGTGTTACAATGGACCCCATGAAGGCCTTGATGTAACATTGAACACGTATAAATGTTGATGAATGTACCAATGGGCACGTGTAAAGATGTGTGTGTGTGTGACACAGATTTGATTGGTGAAGACTGTTGGCGGTTTCACAGATGTGAGTGGCTGTAATGAAAATTGTTTTGCGAGTGCTTTGAATGAAAATTGAAAAATAATGTAGTTGAGATACCTCGTCTGTTCGACCGTAATGCCGTGAGGCCATTACTTTGCCTAATTGATGCCTTGTTGTTCCTTAGTACGGTATGATCACAAGACCTGACATGTCGAGGACAATTAACTAATGACCAAACGGAGGAAATCATCTTGATATGAATTCTGGACAGTTTGTGTGCCCCGCTTCTTGCTGCGCCGGGAAAAGTACACAAATAATCAATATTGGACATACACATTCATGGTTCTTTCTTTAAAACTCAAGAGAACCAGCAGAAAACTGGCTGACGTGTGTCTTGAAACCCGCTAGAAATGCATGAAATCTGATCAATATGATCAATGTATGATATATTTACATATGTACTGTTGTCTGGTATTCAAGATTATCTGCAAGATTCATTTGTTTACTGGAACATGGATTGTTGTCTCAAACAGGGGACGCATGATGTAAAAAATGTCCTTGTAATAGTAATTTGTTTTCACAACAATGACTTCCTGAAACATGTGTTATTGTTTTCAAGGAACAAGGGGTATTCAGTTGACACAATCATAGTGGTAAACATACTTCTGTTGACATCAATATATCTGCAGTGGTAAAGTTATTAATATGCTGTCGTAATTAATCTTTTCAAAGCAATAGCTACCATGAAGCATACTAATGCTAATGCTAATATGTTTGCTCCTGTAAGTTATTCACACTGTCCAAAAGTGCTAATACCTCGCTACACGGACACTGGGTAAACTTTTCCCGCATAGCGATATGCTGTAGGCCTGTCCCCATCACTCCCGGCAGACAGTCGTTACTACACCTACACTACTGCCTAAAAGTTCATTCCCCTAACACGCGTTGAAAAAGGCGTGTAACACGCATGTGACACGGGTGCTCAATGGGTTGCACACGGGTTGAGCACCCGTTGAACACGCGCGTGCAACGGGTGTGCAGCGCGTGTGGAACCCGTTGAGCACGCGTGCGTCACTCGTTGGACACGCGTGTGCCATGCATGTAACACGGGACCAGGTTTCAGTTGAATTTGACAAATATTTCAAATGAATAGTGAGATAAAACAAAACAGTGAGATGTGAATCTTGAGGAGCCATTGACCTGTGTTCACCAGACCATAAACACAAGGTCGGCCCGTCTTAATTAGTGTTCGGTTGCTGGACTTTTATGGCATGGCCCATTCCAAGAGGGGCCAGTCTAGCCACTGGGACTAGCCGACAGGAGAACAGTAGTGAATTTAGATGCGAGTTTATTGCTAGGGGAACACCGAGTTGACACGATTGTCGCGGGTTGGTAAATGTTCGCCATTTATGAAGTCACTGTTTGTGGATTGCGGACATATTCGTTTTAAGTTTTGCCAACATGAGTCATTCCAGGTGATTGCAAATATTACGCTTTTCCTACGCCAAATTTATGCTTTAGAAAGTACAATTATGATAGAGATGTCACCACTACTAATGTCTTATTTTTTCACGTAGGGATATGTCCTATTAACCCCACTCCTCACTTTCTGTTTTCTAATTTGTAAGAATTAATAAGAGAAATTTTGTGTGGGATTCTAACAGTATCACTAATTCCAAGAGAAGATTGGTAATGAATATGAACAGCCATGTTGTCTGACTTTGATAGAATTGAGAGATCTTCACAATCACCGGGTGTGACCATGTACCCATAATCTCGTTAGGGTTTGTGATGTTAACATTTGCCCAATGACCATAATGAGTATTGCAAGGGATACCAAAGGTAACAGTTTATTATTAGAGGAAATTGGTTGTGGGTAATCCTTTCACTTTGATAGAAGGAAGCCACTCAACCAGTTGGTGACAATGGATTATGCGCATGGCTCGGAATCGCGAAAAGATCACTAGAGATATTGATGGTGGCTGGACACGCAGCATACATCATTTCCAGTGTATGCAGGGACCTCGTCTGCAGTTGTTTGGCGTTCCCAGTATTTATATACCATCTCACTGATTACTTGTTAACTGGTCACTGCAAGTGCTTTCATTATTTAAATTTCAGTGAACTGAGTTTATTCACCATGTTCACATGCTAGCTTTCATAAATTCAAGCTTAGTTAGAATCCTTGTTATTCTGTGAACTGGTATTCCAACTGGTGACATTTTAGTGATGGATGAAGTTTAATAATTTTGGACTACATGTAACATGGCTGTTTTTACATTTCTTATACAGGTGCTTGACTGCCTCAGTAGTTCATGATCAATAACATTTCGTATTGTGTAAACAAATCAGTCACGTTTGCAACAATAGATTAATAAGTTGATAAATTTGGACTGCAATTACCGATAAACAACTTAAGACATAGAGACAGGGAGTTGATATATAACCCAAGTTATGGTCCTGTTGAGACGCTTGAAGTTGGAGTAAATGACAGCAATTAATTTGAACATTCCCCAGTAATATTATACAATACGTCATGACCCATAACCGCGCGAGAGACAATTTTCAGCTATATATTGTAAGGTCAATCGCTTTTGGCATGTTTAAGAATAAACTTACTTTAAGGCACTTGGCAAGTCAAAACTGGCCGCCCTGATTATGTTTTAAGGTTTGACAACAATTATGCTCGTGGATTTCAGAGCCTTTATAGGGTCCATTGGTACACCATTAACATTTATACGTGTATATTGGTATAGGGTCCATTGTTATTCCCCAGTAGTAGGAAGTAGTCGACGTCCACACCGCGGACGATGCTTGCTGCCCATATGAAGCTGACACGACATGTACTGAGGTCAGCATGACATTATCATACCTCCATGTCAGAATGGTCCACGTGATCTTGAGAAAATACTTTATCTTACATCCATGTCAAAATGATGAGATCTGATTGGACCACGTGATCTTGAGAAAATACTTTATCGTACATCCATGTCAAAAAGATGAGATCTGATTGGACCACGTGATCTTGAGAAAATACTTTTTCTTACCTCCTTGTCAGAACGATGAGATCTGATTGTAACACGTGATCTTGATAACATACTTTAAACCAACTACCTCGGTATAAGGTGGGCGTCAAAATGGGGTCAAACCAATTACCCTGGCAGAGGTCTGATGGTACCTAGCCTCATAAGTTGTTCTCTGAACTTTTGTAGGCACGTTTATACAACCATTGCTTGGACGAAAGGACGGGGTTGTATAAAAATCCAGTTTGGAAAGGCCCATTTTAAACTTTGAAATACTAAAATGAACATGAGATGCGATGTTGAGATGTCTGACAAATAGCCTGTTTCCTTTCTTATACTTGCGAACCCTGAAGATCCGAGGTAGAATAGGTCTTCAGCAACCCATGCTTGTTATAGGCGACTATGTATGTCGTAAGAGTCGACTAACGGAATCGGGTGGTCAGGCTCGCTGACTTGGTTGATGTATGTCATCGTGTCCCAGTTGCGTGGATCGATGTTCATGATATCAATCACTGGATTGTCTGGTCCAGACTCGATTATTTACACAGACCATCGTCATCTTGCTTGAATATTGCTGAGTGTGGCGTTAAACAAAAAACAAACAAACAAACAAACTTTCACGTACGTATGCATACGATCATGAAAAAACCTAAGTACAAGTAAGTCCCTGTCCCATTTACCTGCCTGGATCAACACTTGGACATGTTAAAATGTTAGAAACACGCATCATGAACCTCAAAATTCAATCTGTGTGGCACATTGTAGCATTATGTATTTAGTGCTGTATAAGTCAGCATAAGCAATAGCTGAAATGAACATTGTAAAATAAATACTTCAAATGTATTCTTTCAAGAATATGTCGACATTAAAACAATGCAAATACACTGACCTGTCCAACATCAGGATGACCTTTCAAAAAAGGTCGTGTCCATGTACAGCAAACCTGTTTCTACTATTAAGATGACGTACCTGTTCTGAGATTGCTGAATTTCTCACAACTGGTTGGGGCCACTCTTGGTATGTGTATCCATCTTCTGGAACAGTAACATTTACATACAGTTTTTCTTAACTATCGGATCGCACGTGTGGCCCCGTTGTCTAAGGCGTCGCAATTTGTGGTGCAGATTTGCGCCCCTTGAGCACACCAGACACCTATGATATAGTGGCTCGAATCCCGGTTCGCCCCGATTATGTTTCTAGGTTTGTCAGAATCAGTGCTCGTGGGTTTCACCAGAGTGGTTAACGTCTGAGACATACATCACTTCTTGCTTTCCTCCCACACCAAACTTATACGCCGTTATACAAAGTTAACTGGAATAGTATTCAAACCGGCGTTAAACCCAACTCACTCACTCACTCACACTTAATTATCGAGATTCCGACTACACGTTTCGATGACATCAAACGTAATATGCCATTGTTATATTCCGAAATCCAGATGTCATTGTTAATTGAACAAACATTCAAACTTATCGCGAAACTTCATGGTAAGGAATCAAACATTTGATATCCAAGGGATAGAGGTGTGGTTTATGTTTAAGGCAGAATATGGCTTCAGTCAGCGCTTTAATAAAACAATAGTGAGAAAAAATAATTTCCAGAATCAAGAGAAGTCTTTGCTAACAGACCTTTATACGATTCCGGCTATATCGGGAGCATGTGTTTATGAATCACTATCAAATAGTGATGACACCAGGTGTTCGCGACAATGTGAGCGTATCCAGTGAGTGGCATCCGTCACAAACATCTTAACTAAACTAAATGTCCTATCCCCAAATTTCACATAGATGTTATCTATGAGGAAGTCCAGCATTTCACATATTGTTTTCTTTGTAAACGTCATGCTTTCCTGAACCTGTGAGAACACAGATCTAGCTACATCTGTTGTCACATCTATTAGTGACATGGATCCGGGATGAAGATTTCCCTTACTTTTGTATAAAGTTATGTATAAAGTTGTGTATAAAGTTGTGTATAAAGTTGTGTATAAAGTTGAAAATTAAATCGAACGTTTTGACCTAAACCGAGAGCCCAAAGAAAGTATAGCGAGTTTGATATTTATGTACATGTACTTGAAAGAACTGTTGTTTCATTTGATCATGTCCATTTAACCATCACTCATTCCTGCAACAGTTTGTAAAAACTGATCTGTGACTGTAATTTTGTGTAAAAATAAATTTGCTTTATGAAGGCTGGAGTAAGAAATGAATTTGCAGCCACACGACCCCTACCATGTTTCAAATGATATACTTTGTGTCGAAAAAAGGAAAGTTGATAGAATTTCAAAGATAAGATGCCTAGGATACCCATCAGCAGTTGTGCATTATGCAGATATATTTAAAAAAAATCGAATTATGTTTTAAAGAATAATACCATGTCGCAGTATGTTTCAGTGCTGACTGAGCCCCAGTTCATTTCATTTTTTTAATAAAATAATCGCTAACTTAAGATGTGTTCAACTGAAAAATGAACTTATGACAAAATCTGAGAGGTTTATCATTGTTTGCTCCTTAGCTACAATGAGCCTGGCTTTTGAGTTATTGATAGTCCACATGGTAGTAATGATACTTGTATAAAATACGTTCTATGAATATGAAGACAAACGTACTTTGGTTGCTTGACAGGAGAAGCTAAGCAAGTTTGTTGGAATCTGGAACATATTATTTTTCAGAATACGTGTATGTCCAGTGAACGATTATAGCTGTTGTTGTAAAACCTTATGTCAAAAAATGTTTTTAACATTTAATGGAAGCAAACATATGTCAGGCTGTTATTTACATGTAAATACAAGTACACAGCTGTTTCACTCGCAACCCATGCAGTAGTCTTGGTATATCAGTCAATCAGTGTTTACTTTTTCAAGGGCAACTGACCAATTATCCTGACAATCATGATACAAATGTGTTAAACATGCCAATATATAGAGAATCGTTGATAAAGTGGAAAATATCCTCGGCAAGCCTCGGAATTTTTCCACTTTTATCAACTCATGTTGATATATTTGATATCAAAAGACACGAGGGTGAGATTTTATTTATCATCCAACATCATTCTTCCAACTTTTTTCAATTTGTAGACAGTAATCAGCAGTGTCTTCAGTGTAAAGTTACTTCTAACAGCTTCAGTAGCAGAGCCATTAGTGATGTCATTTGATTGTGACGTCATGGTAACAGGTCACGTCAGAACGACCTTTCGCGAACTTTGACCGACCAATGCAATGAAGGAAGTCGACATTAGCCACTAAGAAAGCAGATTTCTTGAGCTTTGCGGTTTCAAACTCGCGACTTACATTCCTGTCTACGCTTTTTAAAATATTTTGAATCAGTCATACAGTCCGTAACAGTTGTTTTATGTTGAGCTTTAGAGGCTGCATGGTTAGACAACATTTTCTGCTAACAATGTAACATAACAATATGAATATTTCATACGTGTTTGTATCGTTGTCTGTCGTGTAGTTGTCCGATGTTCGATCACGAAAGTTGATACTAATTAATTTCGTTTATCCAACATTCTCGTTAATCCGACATAATCATATGCAACCAAACATGTTGAATTCACGGGATTTGACTGTAATTTATCTTTTGATGGACAATGTAACAAATGTGTTCACATAATCTCTTTTTATGACGTAACAAATGTTATATTTGGGAAAGTACAGATTCTCGTAATTTGGTTGATTCGCGTCCGGGAATCGAATCCACACTGCCTGAGTGAGGCACCTAATCGCCACCACTGCCAGAGTGTTATCTCAAATATAACATTTCTGATATTTGACCAATTTCTAAATGGCACTGTGTGCTCATACACTTTTTATGATCTTACGTGGTGAATATTTTTCTCAGTACTTCAGTTTACCTCTGTATCTTCCATATCACACACACTTTTTCCAACAGTTTGTATCTACAGATAGTAGAACGAGCTTCTAAACAAGTTTAATGCATAAATTCACAATACCATTTAGAAAGTGGTCAAATGTAACAAATGTTATATTTGAGATAACACTTTCTTAGTAAAGTATAGATTCTCGTACTTTTGGGGGTTGAATCCCGTCCGGGATTTGAACGAGAATCTATACTTTACTAAGAAAGTGTTATCCCAAATATACCATTTGTTGTAAGTGGAGGTGAGGTGAAATTGGGTTTAACGTCGCGTCCAAGATTATTGCACTTATATAGCAACGTGCATGCACGTGTGTGTGTGTGTGTGTGTGTGGCTGCTTGTACTAGTCCGGACTGATGCCGATTTATAGTGCTAGCTCACTGAGATACCATGCCGCAGTTTAACATGAATACCCCACTCAGACACAGTATACTGACTCCGAGCCGACCAGTCCTTGTTTTAGCCCCTTAATGCCGAGCGCCAGGCGGTCCTTGTTGTAAGCATCATTCATGGTTTAAACGACAGCTGTAACATATATCTTGCCTGAACATACCTAGCTTCTGAAATAAATGGTCTGATGCTGTGACTGCTAAACACTAATGCACGTCTTTTCTCGGATACACGAAACGGCACTGAAATGGCTAATTTAGATTTAGATCCGGTTGCCATGGGCACAGGACATGCATGTGAAGATATCGCCTTGTCCACGGCCGCTATACCCGTAATCAACTTAATCAGTCAGAGCTACCTCTATTGTCCCCTCCCCGGGGTATCCGTCCTTGTTGAAATGGCCGTCAAGAAACAATAACAAATAATCTCTTTAAGTGTAAACACTCCATGAATTAGTCAGGTAATATCCAGCCGCATTATACTGATAACGACACACACTATGGCATGACCGCTTAAGGAGTGGAATATCCAGGATAAAGGTAATTATACATATTTAATTAAAAAAAACCAGGAGATATCAGAAAATATGATCTATCTCATTATTCGAAAAGTTACAATTGGACCTTTTTTGCAGTAACCCTGTACAAAACCTCTCTCTGACAACGGCGTGTTGTTCTCAAGACAGGCAACAATGGCAGGGCTGAAATGAACCCAACCAACCTATCATTGAATATACAATTTCTATGCATAATTCATGCAGGTATTGACGTGCGCTACCGTTATAAAGACACCTAGGGTTTTTACTTCTTTCACTCTTCTGGTATTTGGACATTTTTAATGAAATAGCTAAATGCTTTGAAATCAGGAATTAAAAAATAATGACTCGTTCAAAGCCGTTCCTCCTCATGTAATTTGATTAATAACAGTCACGTTTCATTAAATATCAAAGATGAACATTTAGAAGTGGAGCATTGTTTTGTCCACCCGACGCTGTGTATACTCAAGAGCAAAGATGACGGTCATCGAGGTATTGTATATCATGGCATATGTTGAAGGTTGTATATCATGGCACATGTTGAAGGTTGTATATCATGGCATATGTTGAAGGTTGTATATCATGGCATATGTTGAAGGTTGTATATCATGGCATATGTTGAAGGTTGTATATCATGGCATATGTTGAAGGTTGTATATCATGGCACATGTTGAAGGTTGTATATCATGGCATATGTTGAAAGTTGTATATCATAGCACATGTTGAAGGTTGTATATCATGGCACATGTTGAAGGTTGTATATCATGGCATATGTTGAAGGTTGTATATCATGGCACATGTTGAAGGTTGTATATCATGGCATATGTTGAAAGTTGTATATCATAGCACATGTTGAAGGTGGTATATCATGGCATATGTTGAAGGTTGTATATCATGGCATATGTTGAAGGTTGTATATCATGGCATATGTTGAAGTTTATATATCATGGCATATGTTGAAGGTTGTATATCATGTCACATGTTGAAGGTTGTATATCATGGCACATGTTGAAGGTTGTATATCATAGCATATTTTCAAGGTTGTATATCATGGCATATGTTGAAGGTTGTATATCATAGCACATGTTGAAGGTTGTATATCATAGCACATGTTGAAGGTTGTATATCATGTCATATGTTGAAGGTTGTATATCATGGCATATGTTGAAGTTTGTATATCATGGCATATGTTGAAGGTTGTATATCATGGCATATGTTGAAGGTTGTATATCATGGCATATGTTGAAGTTTGTATATCATGGCATATGTTGAAGGTTGTATATCATGGCATATGTTGAAGGTTGTATATCATAGCATATGTTGAAGGTTGTATATCATGGCACATGTTGAGGTTGTATATCATAGCACATGTTCAAGATTGTATATCATAGCACTTGTTGAAGGTTGTATATCATAGCACATGTTGAAGGTTGTATATCATAGCACATGTTGAAGGTTGTATATCATAGCACATGTTGAATGATGTTTATCATAGCACATGTTGAAGGTTGTATATCATAGCACATGTTGAAGTTTGTATATCATGGCACATGTTGAAGTTTGTATATCATAGCACATGTTGAAGGTTGTATATCATAGCACACGTTGAAGTATGTATATCATAGCACATGTTGAAGGTTGTATATCATAGCACATGTTGAAGTTTGTATATCATAGCACATGTTGAAGTTTGTATATCATAGCACATGTTGAAGTTTGTATATCATAGCACATGTTGAAGTTTGTATATCATAGCACATGTTGATAGTTGTATATCATGGCATATGTTGAAGTTTGTATATCATGGCACATGTAGAAGGTTGTATATCATGGCACATGTAGAAGGTTGTATATCATAGCATATGTTGAAGGTTGTATATCATGGCACATGTTGAAGGTTGTATGTCATGGCACATGTTGAAGTTTGTATATCATAGCACATGTTGAAGTTTGTATATCATAGCACATGTTGAAGTTTGTATATCATAGCACATGTTGAAGTTTGTATATCATGGCACATGTAGAAGGTTGTATATCATGGCACATGTTGAAGTTTGTATATCATGGCACATGTAGAAGGTTGTATATCATGTCACATGTTGAAGGTCGTATATCATGGCACATGTTGAAGGTTGTATGTCATGGCACATGTTGAAGTTTGTATATCATAGCACATGTTGAAGGTTGTATGTCATGGCACATGTTGAAGTTTGTATATCATAGCACATGTTGAAGTTTGTATATCATGGCACATGTTCAAGATTGTATATCATAGCACTTGTTGAAGGTTGTATATCATAGCACATGTTGAAGTTTGTATATCATTGCACATGTAGAAGGTTGTATATCATGTCACATGTTGAAGGTTGTATATCATGGCACATGTTGAAGGTTGTATGTCATGGCACATGTTGAAGTTTGTATATCATAGCACATGTTGAAGGTTGTATGTCATGGCACATGTTGAAGTTTGTATATCATAGCACATGTTGAAGTTTGTATATCATGACACATGTTCAAGATTGTATATCATAGCACTTGTTGAAGGTTGTATGTCATAGCACATGTTGAAGTTTGTATATCATGGCACATGTAGAAGGTTGTATATCATGTCACATGTTGAAGGTTGTATATCATGGCACATGTTGAAGGTTGTATGTCATGGCACATGTTGAAGGTTGTATGTCATGGCACATGTTGAAGGTTGTATGTCATGGCACATGTTGAATGTTGTATGTAATAGGGTATGTTGAGTGTTGTATGTAATAGGGTATGTTGAGTGTTGTATGTCTTAGCATCTGTTGAAGGTTGTATATCATGATCATAACATATGTTGAATGTTGTGTGTGTTAGCACTTGTTGAATTTTGTTTATCATAGCATATGTGGAATGTTGTATATCACAGCACATGTGGAATTTCCTAAATTAAAACGTGACGCGTTCATTGTATTTCTTGTGAAGTAAGTGATGGGTTTTTTCTTTGCTGATGCCGTGTTTGAATGGGCTGGGGATAGACCAAATATGGACTGCAAAAGACTTTGATTATATATTGAAATTTAAACATGCTTATGATGTAGTCGGAATCGTGAAATGGCCTTTGGTTTTCTGTTCTTTACATAACATGTAATGTCCGGGTATCTCTTGGTGGAAGGGTAGAGAATACATGGTGCTGTATAAAAAGGACATAACGCCACCGTTATCTGTCTTAGATGAGGATTGTTGTATCCATAGATAAAACACAGATAAGTCTGTACAACGTTATTGCCCACAACATCATTATGGGTAGAGAATACATGGAGCTGTATAAAAAGGACATAACGCCACCGTTATCTGTCTTGATGGGGATTGTTGTATCCATAGATAAAACACAGAAAAGTCTGTGCAACGTTATTGCCAACGACATCATTATTATTATAATTTATTTCACGACATAAATGTAACCAATGAGGGCATAAAGGGATGGAGGTTGTGATTGAAGGATGGAGGTGGGGGAGTCTGTCTTCTTCATCACCTAGACTTAACTGTTAAGCCATACCCTGTGATAAAAGAAAGAACTTTTCCAACGAGAGACAAAATAGAAACGTCTGTCAAACACTCGAATGACGTAATATAACACGTTTTGTCCATCGACTTTGTCCTGTGTGTCTCTGCCTTAGGCGCTATTAATATTTCAACCGCCGATCTGAATCCGCGGGATTCCCATGCAGTAACGATTCGAACAGGTTAAAACATACGAGTCGTACTTGAACACACTCGAGCATGCTGTTTACTTTTCACATCCGTTTTACATTATGTATACGACAGTACAATAACTATTGGACATCGGCGGCACTGGAGTCTTTGGGATCAAAAGATGTATGTATGTAAATATTAGGAAGATTTAAAACACTGTTGTGTCTACTCCCAGTGACGTAAGTGCCTAATACTGCATTCGGATCACCATTGCTATCTGCAGCTGTAAGATGGCGTACACGCTACCGCCATCCCTACCCACCCCTACCCACATCCCTACCCATCCCTACCCTGTCCCTTCTGTCATCCCTACCCCGAATCCCTACCGCTATCCCTATCACGTCCCTTCTGTCATCTCTACCGACATCCCTACCCGTCCACAACCCACATCCCTACCGCCATCCCTACCGCCATCTCTACCCATCCCTTCCCAAATCCCTTCCGCCATCCTTACCCATCAATACCGCCATCCCTACCATCCCTACCCATCGCTACCGCAATCCCTACCCACCCCTACCCATCGCTACCCATCGCTACCACCATCCCTACCCATCCATACCGAAATCCCTATCCATCCCTACCCATCGCTACCCATCTCTACCCATCCTTCCCAAATCCCTACCGCCATCCCTACCCATCCATACCCACATCCCTACCATCCCTACCCATCGCTACCGCAATCCCTATCCACCCCTACCCATCGCTACCCATCTCTACCCATCCCTTCCCAAATCCCTACCGCCATCCCTACCATCCCTACCGCCACCCCTACCGCCATCCCTACCCATCGCTACCGCCACCCCTACCGCCATCCCTACCCATCGCTACCGCCACCCCTACCGCCATCCCTACCCATCGCTACCGCCATCCCTACCCTGTCCCTACCCATCACTACCGCCATCCCTACCCACCCCTACCCATCCCTACCGGCATCCCTACCGCCATCCCTACCCATCGCTACCGCCATCCCTACCCTGTCCCTACCCATCACTACCGCCATCCCTACCCACCCCTACCCATCCCTACCGGCATCCCTACCCATCGCTACCGCCATCCCTACCCATCCCTACCGCCATCCCTACCCATCGCTACCGCCATCCCTACCGCCATCCCTACCCATCGCTACCGCCATCCCTACCCACCCCTACCCATCGCTACCGCCACCGCTACCGCCATCCCTACCCATCGCTACCGCCATCCCTACCCACCCCTACCCACCCCTACCCATCCCTACCCATCGCTACCGCCACCCCTACCGCCATCCCTACCCATCGCTACCGCCACCCCTACCACCATCCCTACCCATCGCTACCGCCATCCCTACCCACCCCTACCCACCCCTACCCATCCCTACCCATCGCTACCGCCACCGCTACCGCCATCCCTACCCATCGCTACCGCCACCCCTACCGCCATCCCTACCCATCGCTACCGCCACCCCTACCGCCATCCCTACCCATCGCTACCGCCATCCCTACCCACCCCTACCCACATCCCTACCCATCCCTACCCTGTCCCTTCTGTCATCCCTACCTCGAATCCCTACCGCTATCCCTATCACGTCCCTTCTGTCATCTCTACCGACATCCCTACCCGTCCACAACCCACATCCCTACCGCCATCCCTACCGCCATCCCTACCGCCATCTCTACCCATCCCTTCCCAAATCCCTTCCCAAATCCCTTCCCAAATCCCTACCGCCATCCCTACCCATCAATACCCACATCCCTACCATCCCTACCCATCGCTACCGCAATCCCTACCCACCCCTACCCATCGCTACTACCATCTCTACCCATCCATACCGCAATCCCTATCCACCCCTACCCATCGCTACCCATCTCTACCCATCCCTTCCCAAATCCCTACCGCCATCCCTACCCATCCCTACCCACATCCCTACCATCCCTACCCATCGCTACCGCAATCCCTATCCACCCCTACCCATCGCTACCCATCTCTACCCATCCCTTCCCAAATCCCTACCCACCCCTACCCATCGCTACCGCCACCCCTACCGCCATCCCTACCCATCGCTACCGCCATCCCTACCGCCATCCCTACCCATCGCTACCGCCATCCCTACCCATCGCTACCGCCATCCCTACCCACCCCTACCCATCGCTACCGCCATCCCTACCCACCCCTACCCATCGCTACCGCCATCCCTACCCATCCCTACCGGCATCCCTACCCATCGCTACCGCCATCCCTACCCACCCCTACTGCCATCCCTACCGCCATCCCTACCCACCCCTACCCATCCCTACCGCCATCCCTACCCATCGCTACCGCCATCCCTACCCTGTCCCTACCCATCCCTACCCACCCCTACCCATCCCTACCCATCCCTACCGGCATCCCTACCCATCCCTACCCATCCCTACCCACCCCTACCCATCCCTACCGGCATCCCTACCCATCGCTACCGCCATCCCTACCCACCCCTACCGCCATCCCTACCGCCATCCCTACCCATCGCTACCGCCATCCCTACCCACCCCTACCCATCCCTACCGGCATCCCTACCCATCGCTACCGCCATCCCTACCCATCCCTACCGCCATTCCTACCCATCGCTACCGCCATCCCTACCCTGTCCCTACCCATCGCTACCGCCATCCCTACCCACCCCTACCCGTACCTACCGCCATCCCTACCGCCATCCCTACCCATCGCTACCGCCATCCCTACCCTGTCCCTACCCATCGCTACCGCCATCCCTACCCATCGCTACCGCCATCCCTACCCATCGCTACCGCCATCCCTACCGCCATCCCTACCCATCGCTACCGCCATCCCTACCCACCCCTACCCATCGCTACCGCCATCCCTACCCACCCCTACCCATCCCTACCGCCATCCCTACCCATCGCTACCGCCATCCCTACCGCCATCCCTACCCATCGCTACCGCCATCCCTACCCACCCCTACCCATCGCTACCGCCATCCCTACCCACCCCTACCCATCCCTACCGGCATCCCTACCCATCGCTACCGCCATCCCTACCCACCCCTACCCATCCCTACCGCCATCCCTACCCATCGCTACCGCCATCCCTACCCTGTCCCTACCCATCGCTACCGCCATCCCTACCCACCCCTACCCGTACCTACCGCCATCCCTACCGCCATCCCTACCCATCGCTACCGCCATCCCTACCCTGTCCCTACCCATCGCTACCGCCATCCCTACCCATCGCTACCGCCATCCCTACCCATCGCTACCGCCATCCCTACCGCCATCCCTACCCATCGCTACCGCCATCCCTACCTACCCCTACCCATCGCTACCGCCATCCCTACCCATCGCTACCGCCATCCCTACCCACCCCTACCCATCCCTACCGCCATCCCTACCCATCGCTACCGCCATCCCTACCGCCATCCCTACCCATCGCTACCGCCATCCCTACCCACCCCTACCCATCCCTACCGCCATCCCTACCCATCGCTACCGCCATCCCTACCCACCCCTACCCATCCCTACCGGCATCCCTACCCATCGCTACCGCCATCCCTACCCACCCCTACCCATCCCTACCGCCATCCCTACCCATCGCTACCGCCATCCCTACCCACCCCTACCCATCGCTACCGCCACCCCTACCGCCATCCCTACCCATCGCTACCGCCACCCCTACCGCCATCCCTACCCATCGCTACCGCCATCCCTACCCACCCCTACCCATCGCTACCGCCATCCCTACCCACCCCTCCCATCCCTACCCATCGCTACCGCCATCCCTACCCATCGCTACCGCCATCCCTACCGCCATCCCTACTCATCGCTACCGCCATCCCTACCGCCATCCCTACCCATCGCTACCGCCATCCCTACCCTGTCCCTACCCATCGCTACCGCCATCCCTACCCACCCCTACCCACCCCTACCCATCGCTACCGCCATCCCTACCCATCGCTACCGCCATCCCTACCCTGTCCCTACCCATCGCTACCGCCATCCCTACCCACCCCTACCCACCCCTACCCATCGCTACCGCCATCCCTACCGCCATCCCTACCGCCATCCCTACCCATCGCTACCGCCATCCCTACCGCCATCCCTACCCATCGCTACCGCCATCCCTACCCACCCCTACCAATCCCTACCGCCACCCCTACGCATCGCTACCCATCTTTACCGCCATCCCTACCCATCGCTACCGCCATCCCTACCCACCCCTACCGCCATCCCTACCCACCGCTACCACCATCCCTACCCACCCGTACCAACATCCCCACCAAAATCCCTACCCTGTTCCTTCTGTCATCCCTACCTCGAATCCCTACCACCATCCCTACCCCTTCCCTTCTGTCATCCCTACCCCCATCCCTACCCATCGCTACCCCACCCTACCCCAAATACCCACAACCCTATCCCTGTCTCTACCGCCACCTTCCCCACCCTACAGCCAACCTTCCCAACTACTCTCATCCCTACCCTACCTAAGCACATCCCTACCCATCACTACCGCCACTTCCCCAGCCTAACGGCAACCCTACCCAACTACTCTCATCCCTACCCTACCTAAGCAAATCCCTACCCATCACTACCGCCACCTTCCCCAGCCTACCGCCAACCCTACCCAACTACTCTCATCCCTACCCTACCTAAGCACATCCCTACCCATCACTACCGCCACCTTCCCAGCCTACCACCAACCCTACCCAACTACTCTCATCCTACCCTACCTAAGCACATCCCTACCCATCATTACCGGCACCTTCCCAAGCCTACCGCCAACCCTACCCAACTACTCTCATCCCTACCCTACTTAAGCACATCCCTACCCATCACTACCGCCACCTTCCCAAGCCTACCGCCATCCCTACCCAACTACTCTCATCACTACCCTACTTAAGCACATCCCTACCCATCACTACCGCCACCTTCCCAAGCCTACCGCCATCCCTACCCAACTACTCTCATCCCTACCCTACCTAAGCACATCCCTACCCATCACTACCGCCACCTTCCCCAGCCTACCGCCATCCCTACCCAACTACTCTCATCCCTACCCTACCTAAGCACATCCCTACCCATCATTACCGGCACCTTCCCAAGCCTACCGCCATCCCTACCCAACTACTCTCATCCCTACCCTACCTAAGCACATCCCTACCCATCATTACCGCCACCTTCCCCAGCCTACCGCCATCCCTACCCAACTTACACACGTACACTAACATCCTACAGTCGAGGGTTAGCAACTATACATACACTGTCGGGCAAAAGAAAGTACACATCTCAAACCTTTAGGCCCAAAACACTGCTATGATACCCTTTTCAATTACATCACCATCAAATAACGATTTCTTGTTTGTTTATTTGTTTAGTTTTAGATACCATCAAACTTTCTTTTGTCCGGCACTTTACATACATCAGTTTCGAAGCGTCGCAATTCCAAATACACTTAAAAAACACTATGGTGAAACTAATCAAAAACAAATAATTAAAGTTAATCTCTTTACATGTGCTAAATTGCAGCTTGCACCATTGATAAATTATGACGCTGTTCGTGAACACAAAGTTAAATTAGTATCATTCACAGCACACACAAAAATACGTTTATAACGACAACAAAAGCTCGGATACTCGTTATGTAAACTTTATGAAGGCATCAAACGTTAGTGCGGGGCATCACGGTTTGGTCGATACTTCAACGCATTGTTGCTGGTAAGAACGACAGGTAATTTCAGACTTAATAACGGGTGAAGCATCATTGGATTCATCCATAGACCAGTTTCCATTTCAATACCCTCGCCTCTTGTGCATTATCAAATGTAGTGGCAGCGTTTCATCTTTACATTTAATCGCGTGAGCTTGCTGTTTCGATCACGTTGGTGAAAGGGTTTCACACTTTAGTCAACACAACCAAAGCGTGCTATCATTAAGGAGTTTTAACCCAGTAAACGGTGGGTTTCGTATCAAACGAACAGTATGTAATACAATGTACGAGTGTGTGTGCTGACATTGGCTGGAGAGGGGTCGTACAATATTTCAGTTCTATCACAGCATGCTTGCGTGTGGGTAGGTAGGCTGTAAAGAGCAGTGCGACCCTACGCTCATATCTGGGACGCCCTGGGAAGCCCTGGGACGCCACTCTGCATTGAGAATATCGGCACTCTAGGCGAACTTTGCGACCTGTACCCTCAAAATTAAAATATGTTAAACGAAAATATATAATTACCCTGAGTAAAACGCAAAACATTTTATATACACGCACGCACGGGCTTCAGAAACCGAAAATAGTGGATGTTGGACGTCACTTTCACGTGAGTACGCACAAGTAAAAGGGGGGCACAGGTGGTGGAGTCCTCTAAGGCGCCGCGATTCGCTGTGCAGAGTTGCGTCCCTTGGGCAGGCCAGAAACCTATGATTGTGGGTTCGAGTCCCGGTTCGCCCCGATTATGTTTCTAGGTTTGTCAGCACCATACCCGTGCTCGTGGGTTTCACCGAAGTGGTAAACGTCTGGGACCTGCATCACTTCGGGCTTTCCTCCCACATTAATCTGACTGTTTAAAAGCGGTGTTAAAACAAACTCACTCAAGTATAAGATTGATCTCGGGAATTGATGACTTTTCCCTTTAAACGATATACTTAGAATTTCACAAGTTTTCTAGGAGGTTGAACAATAATGTTCATGCAGAGACACTTTACAGTTGAAACTTTGGAGAGAACAAACTGAATCGACTGTTTTCCAAAGCCGTGGAAGATTCATCAGAACATCATCAGGTATAGCTACAGACTAAGACTCGTTATAGGAGTGTTGTTGTTTGTTGTTTAACGCCACACTCAGCAATATTCCAGCTATATGACGGCGGTCTGTAAATAATCGAGTCTGGACCAGACAATCCAGTGATTGATAACATGAGTATTGATCCACGCAATTGGGATCGATGACATGCATCAACCAAGTCAGCGGGCCTGACCAGCCGATCCCGTTAGTCGCCTTTTACGACAAGCATAGTCGCCTTTTACGGCAAGCATGGGTTGCTGAAGACCTATTCTACCCCGGATCTTCACGGGCCACTCGTTATAGGTGATGAGGACAGGTGATATATAGGCATCCTTTAATAAAAGAAAATATGGACAGTTTGACACAATAAAGGCAGGCGAAGGGGGCGTTTTGGCATAACCGGGGGAAAGTTATAGAGAAGGAATTATTTATACCGTATTCGACGTAATAATCGCCCCGGGCGCTCTCAAAATTAGAAATCGGGGGCTCTTATTAGAATATTATTTTGGTGAAAAACACATAGTTGAAAGATAAATTTCGTGGTTTATGCTGACAGCCTGAAATTATTATATACGAGAGATATATTTTTCCAGAATTTAATTGCTCATAATTAAGGGTGCATATAACACACGAGTGCGTATTATACGCGAGTAAATAAGTGCTGTGTACATTGATCAATCGGAAGGGGTACTAATAGGTATTGTTCACTATATTATTAAAATATAATATATATTAGCAAATATCGCCGTGGGCGCTTATTAGAACGGGGCGCTTATTTTGTCGAATACGGTAGGAAAGGTGGTCGTTCCGGAAAGCATTTCCGGGTATTTACCACGAGTAGACAATGCATTTTAAAAACCGGTCAAATGAAAATATAAAACGTGAACGCAAGAGAAAAAAATAACATTTTGATTTCCCGCCGAGACAGATTCCATTGGGCGTAAAAGCCAAAATATTTGTAAACAAAGATATAAATGGATCACTGAAAATCAGTGATGACAGCACGTGATTCGAACCCACACTCACCTAATCGCCAGTTATTTACCAGTTTGGAAGCATTTTACTGTATTTGCAATACGTCAGTTCATTTTACTGTACTAATACCACTTCTGAGTTTCTGAGAACATTAGCAAAACCCCCTTTAATGTTTATTTCAATATGGCTCTCTGTCCTGGACACCTCCGTGGTCCAGTCAATGGAGCGTCTGAACCGACAGTGTAAGGTCGGGGTTCGATCCCCGGCGTTGAAGATGGTACTTGTTTGTTACTCTGCCTGGCGATCGGCATTAAGGGGATAAATAAACACTAGTCAAATCTCAGTCAGTGTATTGTGTCTAAGTGGGGTTTCCATTTTCAACTGCGGCATGGTATCTCAGTGGTGCAGCTCCACCATCTCCACCAGCTCCACCAGCAAGAACGCGCGTGTATAAGGAGATTGACAATCGACTTTCCAGACTGAAGGATCAGCTATCCCAGGGTGTCAAGACACCACCAGCAAGAACGCGCGTGTATAAGGATATTGACAATCGACTTTCCAGACTGAAGGATCAGCTATCCCAGGGTGTCAAGACACCACCAGCAAGAACGCGCGTGTATAAGGAGATTGACAATCGACTTTCCAGACTGAAGGATCAGCTATCCCAGGGTGTCAAGACACCACCAGCAAGAACGCGCGTGTATAAGGATATTGACAATCGACTTTCCAGACTGAAGGATCAGCTATCCCAGGGTGTCAAGACACCACCAGCAAGAACGCGCGTGTATAAGGAGATTGACAATCGACTTTCCAGACTGAAGGATCAGCTATCCCAGGGTGTCAAGACACCACCAGCAAGAACGCGCGTGTATAAGGAGATTGACAATCGACTTTCCAGACTGAAGGATCAGCTATCCCAGGGTGTCAAGACACCACCAGCAAGAACGCGCGTGTATAAGGAGATTGACAATCGACTTTCCAGACTGAAGGATCAGCTATCCCAGGGTGTCAAGACACAACCAGCAAGAACGCGCGTGTATAAGGATATTGACAATCGACTTTCCAGACTGAAGGATCAGCTATCCCAGGGTGTCAAGACACCACCAGCAAGAACGCGCGTGTATAAGGAGATTGACAATCGACTTTCCAGACTGAAGGATCAGCTATCCCAGGGTGTCAAGACACCACCAGCAAGAACGCGCGTGTATAAGGATATTGACAATCGACTTTCCAGACTGAAGGATCAGCTATCCCAGGGTGTCAAGACACAACCAGCAAGAACGCGCGTGTATAAGGATATTGACAATCGACTTTCCAGACTGAAGGATCAGCTATCCCAGGGTGTCAAGACACCACCAGCAAGAACGCGCGTGTATAAGGATATTGACAATCGACTTTCCAGACTGAAGGATCAGCTATCCCAGGGTGTCAAGACACCACCAGCAAGAACGCGCGTGTATAAGGAGATTGACAATCGACTTTCCAGACTGAAGGATCAGCTATCCCAGGGTGTCAAGACACCACCAGCAAGAACGCGCGTGTATAAGGATATTGACAATCGACTTTCCAGACTGAAGGATCAGCTATCCCAGGGTGTCAAGACACCACCAGCAAGAACGTGCGTGTATAAGGATATTGACAATCGACTTTCCAGACTGAAGGATCAGCTATCCCAGGGTGTCAAGACACCACCAGCAAGAACGCGCGTGTATAAGGAGATTGACAATCGACTTTCCAGACTGAAGGATCAGCTATCCCAGGGTGTCAAGACACCACCAGCAAGAACGCGCGTGTATAAGGATATTGACAATCGACTTTCCAGACTGAAGGATCAGCTATCCCAGGGTGTCAAGACACCACCAGCAAGAACGCGCGTGTATAAGGAGATTGACAATCGACTTTCCAGACTGAAGGATCAGCTATCCCAGGGTGTCAAGACACCACCAGCAAGAACGCGCGTGTATAAGGATATTGACAATCGACTTTCCAGACTGAAGGATCAGCTATCCCAGGGTGTCAAGACACCACCAGCAAGAACGCGCGTGTATAAGGAGATTGACAATCGACTTTCCAGACTGAAGGATCAGCTATCCCAGGGTGTCAAGACACCACCAGCAAGAACGCGCGTGTATAAGGAGATTGACAATCGACTTTCCAGACTGAAGGATCAGCTATCCCAGGGTGTCAAGACACCACCCCAGTTCTTAGATGCTGTTGGCAAACTTCTGACGATGGATTAAGGTTGTGTCAGTGTTACAACCTCGATGTGAACTGTGATGTGAACTGTGATATTATCTTTAACTGAACTCTAAGTGGCGAATATGTTAAAACAATGGATTTAAGGGATGGATGAATTACAGTGTTGAACGAAATAAAGTAAAAGAGGGTATCAAGCATCTTGAGTAATTTCTTTTGTCTATAATAAGACAAGTCCATTTTCATGGTAGGGGTTAATTACCTGATTAACACGTGCAACCAGGTATTACATTGTTGTTTAAGGTATCTTACAACTAGGTTGTCTTACTAATGGGAAGAGACCCTGGCACTATAAAACCGGTATTAGTCCGGACTAGTACAAACACACACACGCACACGCACACGTACACGCACGCACACACGCACACACACACGTCGCTATATCAGTGCAATATTCTTGAACGTGACGTTAAACCGCATTTCACCTGAACGCATCTCGCGTTCTCGTCTACCATACAATTGTCCCCATTTGCCATCATTTCAAAAAGCATTTATCTCCCCCAGGCAAACTTCGTTTGTGTTTTCCCCAAACCAACACACCTACGTGTAGTCCCAGCAGTAATCAATCTTACCACCATGGACTCGGCATACAACTAAAATACCGTAGTGAGAGCCACAAGCTTGACGGGAGGGCATTCTACTCCGAACAAAGCACTGCGCGCCGGACAAAGATACCCACACCGGTATTCCGGGCTCCTGATGACGTGTACACGGTGCTGTTGGCCTGTCCGTTTATAGGAACCTGGTGTATGGCTCCCTAGGGGTACCCTGGGACACACAATTACCATGGTCATGAATTTTACTTACATCGTAATTGCCACCACGATTGCAACTTAATCTGGTGCCAATGAGCCATTCGTAGTTTTCATCTGACTGCAACGTGTATGTTAACGTTTCTTTGGTTGAAAACGAAACGAATATTAAAATGTTAAAACGTCAAAATCGAAACGCTTTTGTACTTCCCCAATGCTTTGGCTAAAATATACCAGTGAAACATAGTTAGGTTACATGGACATTTCACAGCTAATTTGTTATCAAATACTTTTACGTCTAATAAATAATCATAGTAAATAAAATATAAATACTGTCTTGATAAAAAAGGTTATCTCACTTCTTTCTCTTGCAAAGATGATGCTCCTAGTGTAAAGTATACAATGCACAATGGAAAGTACGTGCATTTCATTAAAACCTTCCGTGGTTAAAATGCAAATTGTATTTTTAAGCTTCCGTTTATTATTGGCTAGCTGGTGACATGGTTGGTTCATTTAGATGATGTCCATACATTATTTTCTTATTGACATCCCTGTGTGTTCATTTCACCAGAACATCTACATACAAATAGAATCATATTAACAAAACAAAATGTACAATTGATGAAGTGTGTTTTTCGCTGTTTGCTGCCTGGGAATTGACTTGAATAATATATGTTCCTGCAGTAAGTACCAGCTGTCTTCTTTTTCAAACGGGTTGACACATTGTTCCATTGTTTAAGGAACTGTTTGGGCCTCATATTGTTTTCGTCCAGACTGAGGCTATTGGGTTTAATTTATTTGTTTTATTGTTGAATCCCGCATTCGACAATGTGCCTTTATATGAAAACGGCCTGGATGTAATCGAGTCACCGCTTATGACACGCATGGGTTTCGGGGGATGATTTGTAAACCAAGAATCGCCAATGTTTTTCAGTTATACGACATCGTGTCAGATGATATCTTAAAATAACATTCAGACCTATTATACTAGAGAGAGTGTCACATGAAATATACAATAATGGCTTAAAGGTCTCAGATACTAAAGAGAGTGTGGAAGGTAATTTACACTGAAAATACGATACCCCAGATACTAGATAGATCGTCGCAAGTTACAACTGGGAGACCTCAAAAAAGGTCCAAAGAGAGTAATATACACCGATAACTGGGAGACCGCAGATACTAAAGAGAGTAATATACTCCGATTACTGGGAGACCGCAGATACTATAGAAGTAATATACACCGATAACTGAGAGGCCTCAGATTCTAACGAGAGTAATATACACAGATGACTGGGAGACCTCAGATACAATAGAAAGTAATATACACCGATAACTGAGAGGCCTCAGATACTAAAGAGAGTAATATACACAGATGACTGGGAGACCTCAGATACAATAGAAAGTAATATACACCGATAACTGAGAGGCCTCAGATTCTAAAGAGAGTGATATACACCGATAACTGGGAGTCTTTCAGATAATATCTCGGTCGAAACTATATTTTACAGTTGACACAGCTAAACTGATAAATACTATTGAGCTTATGATCAACTTCAGTTCTGTTTAGTTATGAGGAACGTCAGTCCACTACCAGAAACATCTACCCGGTTCTAGTAAATATAAAACGTGCCAGCCAGAGAATAACCGGTCTCTATTATTAACATTGAGCGTAAAAGACACAACAGTCATGTATAAGTCATGTATATCTCTGTAAAGGTGGTCGGTAGGCGGATGCCATTGTGGGACCATCTCATCTCACCAGGTGAAGAGGGAATCTGGGGACGCTATAAAAGGAGAAGTGGTGTGTAATGTTGAGTGGAGCTCTTCTGTTTTTCTTCAAAGTTTGATGACATTGATGGCTTCGTCTCGGGGGACATTGGTTAAGAGGCGTGGCTGCTTGGGAGGCATTTGACCATCTTCCCCCGGGGATGCCAGAAGTCAGGCAGGGAGTTCCATGGAGTATACGAGGACTGGTCAACATGTTCTAAGCCTGACTAACTTTCAACTATGGGCCATAACAAAGTAAACAATCAATGTAGTACATTATTTGAGTAGTTCATTGCAAGACTTTAGTGTATTTGGTCTGTTGATGACATTTGTATATTATTGACTGCCAGTTGAACGTGATAGGGGTCCCAATAGGCACAGAAATGGAAAATAACGAGTACCGAGAAGACACTAAGTTTTTGACCTCAGAGAAAAGTTATCCCCAAGATATTTAGATCTGATTGAGGAGGATTTCGTCAAATTCAAAATGACATAAGTAACGGGTGATGAAACATGGGTCTGCCACTATGATCCCGAGTAAAAACATCAATCCATGGATTGCACCATTCCTTTTGTCCGGCACCAAAGAAATACAGGTCTTCAAGATCAGTGAAGAAAGTTATGGTCACTGTATTCTGGGATGCAAATGGTGTGATCCTTGTTGATTACTTTGAAAGTCAAAACACGATTACCTTTGCCTGCTATGCTGATTTACTTCATCGAATGAAAGATTCTATCAAAGGAAAGCGACGAGGAATACTGATGGTTAGAACTCTACTATTTCATGACAATGCCTCTTTACACACCTCTCGACTTGCAAAGGCTGCTGTGCAACAATGTATGTTCGCAGAGCTTCCTCACCCTCCATACTCGCCAGACTTGGCACCAAGTGATTCCCACATGTTTCCTAGCAGCGGTGTGACGACAACGATGACCTCAAAGCTGCCGTGAATGAGTTTTTCAGGGTAGCTTCAGAAAACGTCTTCCTTACTGGATATGAAAAGCGTCACGATCGATATGAGAAGTGCATTGAAAAGCAAGGAGATTATGTTGAAAATTAAAATTAAAAGCACTTTCACAATTGTTGGTTTTGTTTGTTTTGCTTAGAACCCCTTGACCAGCACTCGTTCAACATTGTGGGATTTGATAGGGTTCTAGTGGACTTTGATAATGTCTCTGGCATAGGGGTCTGTTTAGTATTTGTTTGCCAGCTTCTTATTGGGGGTAGGACCTATTCCGTATTAAAACAGTCCATTCATAATGCGTCAGATTCAATTCTCGAAGCCAGAAACCTATGATTGTGGGTTCGAATCCCGGTTCGTCCCGATTATGTTTCTAGGTTTGTCAGCACCATACCCGTGCTCGTGGGTTTCACCGAAGTGGTAAACGTCTCAGACCTGCATCACTTCGGGCTTTCCTCCCACATTAAGCTGACACGCCGCGATATAACTGGAATACTGTTAAAAGCGGCGTAAAACCCAACTCACACACTCACTCAATTCTCGAAGTGAATGCTAATGGTGCTACATTATTATTGTCCTGATCACTGGATCAGTGGTCACTCGAATTGCACGCTCAGCCCCCTGTTGGGGAGGATACAACTAAAGTTGCCGGAAGGCATCTACCACCTGATCCGACCGGGTACCCATCACTGCTGGGCGAGCAGAGGCATACTCGGTATTTCGAAAAGGCCTACATCACATGCAACCTGTGTTTCAATGCGGGGCAAGACAGAAGCAATGGAAGCTGTCAAGAGACTAGAGTGTCAACCATCCACCTACTCTCGTGGACAGAGGTGCTACCCTTCCACTGCTGTGTGACGTGTTGGTTGTACACACGGCAAAGTCTCTCTAGGAGTTCATGTAGTTATTTCTCATGGATTCTGTTTAAGGCGGGCAGTGAGGACCTGCTGAATCTGCGTGTGGGTGGATTAATCTTCAAGCATCTTGTCAGTGGACCGCCTCCGTGGTCTAGTGGTAGAGCGTCCGCCCGGAAAGGGGAAGGTACGGGGGTTCGATCCCCAGACGCGTCATACCAAAAGACGTTAAAAGATGGCACTTGTTGTTACCCTGTCTGGCGCTCGGCATTAAGGGGCTAAAACAAGGACTGGTCGGCTCGGAGTCAGTATACTGTGTCTGAGTGGGGTATTCATGTTAAACTGCGGCATGGTATCTCAGTGGACAAGCACTATAAATCGGCATCAGTCCGGACTAGTACAAGCAGCCACACACACATGTGCATGCAAGTCGCTATATATAGATATATAAGTGTAATAATCTAGAACGTGACGGTAAACCCATTTGACATCACCTCTTGTCAGTGAGAAGGTTGATAGGAGTGTTCATGATGGTTAAACGCCCCAATCAATATCCCAGCTAAGTGACGACGGTCTGTGAATAATCCAATCTGGACCAGGCAATGCAGTGATAGATCCACGCCGCCAGGGGAATGTAGACACGCCATCA